AGTTGTCAAGCAATTTTTGTTTAAAAATAAAAAAATAAATAAAATATCATGTCACCGTTGAAACAAACAAAAACCCCCCACTATGATTGACTCCCACTTTCTTACGCTACTTTCCCCAAATAATTCACCCACCGAACTGAAACCATTAATTTCTGTATATGTCGCTGGTGCTTTCTTCTGCGTCTCCGACTGTCGTCAATCCGTTAAAACAACAAATAACCTAACATCTTTACCTAGGTAATATTATCGAGTGCACAAATCGCAATAAACCTGTCGATTTCTTCATTAAACATCATACCAGCCTCCGGCACCTACGTCTTCCATAGAACCTCCTGCCGCAGCACAAAAAATGGCAACGTTCAGCAAAATATTAATGAATTTCAGTCGAATAAGTAATTGAAATTGTGATCTCAGCGCTTTAACATTTTCCACAAGTAATCAAAAACTACGTAAATCCACTCCTTCAGACAAATTACAGAATGCAATTGAAACAACAAAAAAGATTCATTGGGTTTAAATAACATTACCAAGAGAGCAGACCTTGGCAACAACAAATATAACTCTCAAACAAGGCATTCACAACACAATAGAAGCATATCATGAAAAAACAAAACACGATCAGAAACATAAAAAAAGATTGTCGCTCACTTGGGTTTTCCGGAGTTGGTGAAGACTGGTTTTTATCGTCACGGGAGTTGGACATTACCATCTTTGCACTCGACGTGCGAGGATTCCAATATGGGGGAGCGACTGTTGTCGATGTTGTGGGTGAGTGTGTAAAGATGAGCTGGTGTTTCGCCCTAGCTGGCAATCAATCTAACAACTTTAGCTTCGGGGAGAGACGAGAAATATCTTATCTTGGGGGTGGGGGGATCTCAATGGCGGGTGGAGTGGTGTGTTACATCCCCTTTCAATTTTTCTGCTGGACACCCAACACGTCAATACATTTTTTATCAATTTAAATTTCTGTAGCTGTTTTGTGAACCAGCTTCTATACGAGAAGCTTTTCCATGAATCATCTTCTCCACTCACCCTTACACCACCCCAAGTTGTCCTGCAAATATAAGCTAGCCAAGATCAATTCAGCACTATCAAAAAAAGAGCCATACTACATGTACAATTATTTTTTACAATATTGATTAACAATCATACTTGTCATCATCACATTCATCCATTTCAAAAACTGTTTTTAAAATTAATGAACCAAATTTTGATTCATTATTGTCAACAAATTCATCAAACAAATCACTAGGTGAGAGACTATGCCCCTTGGTTGGGAAAGTAGGAACAGATTTTGCCATAGATTAAGTCAAGTGAAACAGACCTTTTTGCCGGAGTGAGAATTTTGGCATGGGCAAAGAATTTAAGGGAGGTGAGCAAAAATAAGCCAGTCCAACCCAACGTTCAGAGAAATGGAAATCATCCTCATAACCCCCCTTTGCCATCGAATTTAATCGTAATTGGGATTGGAATCATACTAATTTTTTTAGTTCTTTTTCAAGCTTTTGCGATCTTCATTAAGAGAAGTTAACGGGATTTTGGGCGAAATCAAAGTAGAAGAATCCCTTTTGGTAGGGGGGTAGTGGTGCAAGAATTTGGTGGGTTTGGAAGTAACCCTGCACTGGATTGGAAAGAATGATAATCGATACCACGAGAATTATCAGTAGGAGGTTGTTAATACAGTCATAGTGGGTGGTGGTGGCAGACAATGATGGTAATGGTGGCAGCCAGTGGTACTTTGGTGGTTTTGGGTGTGGGGGTGAGTGGAGAAGATGTATATATATATATTTTTTTTAATATAAAAAATATAAAGTTATCTTTTTGCCCTTTAAATTTAGTACACTTGGTCATATTTTTTTTTATTTTTGATCAACTAACAAAGAAACTAATTGTTTTTTAGGTTTGGGTATGATTTGGTTTGGGTTGGTTTCGATTCTAACTCGAAACCAAAATCAAATTAGTCGGTTTAGACGAATTTCAATCCAAACCAACTCACTCTAGTTTATAAATAGAACCAAACCAAATCAAATTGGTTCGGTTCGGTTAGTCGATTTGGACTTTTAGTCCAAATTGATTTTTTTTTTTCAAAAAATGGCCAAATTTTGGGTCCACTTAAATTACAATAACTAAATAATTTTATATTACAAGAATAATTAACTAAGAAATAAAATCAAGTTAATAGAGTTGGATCAATATAAAACTTAAAAGTTGTCATTTTTCTAAAAAGTTATGTAGTCTGACTGATTGAGTGAGGAAAAAATGTTAAAGTATAATACAATGAGCTTGCGAAAGGAAATTATCAGTGCTATTACTTACTGATAATACTGATAATTTCATAAATTGGAGGAAATCGAGATATAGTTATGAGATTATGACTTATTTTTTTATTTTTATTTTTCTTAAATTAAAAAAAAATGAACATGTAAGTGGGTTGGGTTGATTCGGTTAACCAACGTTTGAGACTTCAAAGCATGACTATACCGATCCATCATGGTTTTATTAAAAATAAAATCAAACCAAATCAATTACTCGTGTCAAGCTGACCCTAACCAACTCGAGTTGGTTCGGTTTGATTGGTTTGATTGATTTCTCGATTTTTTTGTCCATATCTAATTTTTTAAATTTGAACTCTAAATGCGTGTTTATGAGAGGTTTGGTACCATGAATACCACAAATTAAAGATTTGGATCAAGTCTTTATAAAAGTGAAATATTGGTACTATGACTGCAATTTTCCCTCAAATAAAAAAGACATATTTCAATTTAAAAAGGAAACTAGAGAAGATAAACATAATTCAAACACAAAGATAAACACAATAGAAAAGGTAAATCACGATTCTAATAATAAACTGCATTTTCGTTGGCTAGAAATATTACCTTTAATTTCTGATTGGTCCACGTAACCGGTAATCACGTGGACCGTTAGTATGTAATTGAAGCCACGTGAACCGAACTAAATCATAAATACTCTTTTACTAACTTATAAATCCTTCGTAAACATTACGCGCCTTCCATTGCATTGATTCCCTGATTCTCCATTGTTTACATGCACTTTTTTTTGGACAAGATAAGTAT